TTGTAATAATACCAAAAGAAATAAAATATTTAGGAATAAACTTAACTAAGGAAGTGAAAAACTTATTTTCTGAAAATGATAACACACTAATGAAAGAAATTAAAGAAGACATAAATACCTGGAAAGACATCCCACTTGAATGAATTAGAAGACAATATTTTTAAACTGTCCATACTACTCCCAAAGTATTTACAGATTCAATTCAATCTCTATCGAAATTCCAATGGCATTTCTTGTAGAAATAGAAAAAACAACTCTAGAATTCACATGGAACTGAGAAAGACCATGAATAACTAAAGCTGAAGACGTCACATGTTCTGACTTCAAAACATAGTATAAAAATACAGTATTCAAAACAGTATGGTAGCAGCATAAAGACAGACATATAGATCAATGGTACAGAATAGACAGCAGCCCATAAATAAATCCACACATATATGGCCAACTGATCCTCAATAATTGTGCTAAGACTACATAATGGGAAAATAAAATCTCCAGCAAATGGTGATAAGAAAATTGGATATCCATGTGCAAAACAATAAACCTGGTCCCTTTTCTTACACCATGTAGAACAAAAGTCAACTCAAAATGGATTGAAGACTTAAAGTTAAGATCTGAAACTCTAAAAGTCCTAGAAGAAAACATAGGGGAAAAGCTCCATGACATTTGCCTTGGCAACGATTTCATGGACATGATACCAAGAGCACAAGGCAATGAAAGCAAAAACAAACAAGTGAGACTACATCAAACTAAAAAGGCTTTGTGTATAAAGGAAACAACAGAATGAAAAGTCAACCTATGGAATGGGAGAAAATATTTACAAACCATATATCTGATAAGAGGCTAATTTCCAAAATATTAATATATAAGAAACTCTAAAAACTAAATAGCAAAAACCTAATAACTCAGTTACAAAATGAGCTAAGGACCTGAATTGACATTTCTCCGAAGAAGACACAGAAATGGCCAACAGGTGTACAAAAAAAGTATAATGTCACTAACCATCAGGGAAATGCAAGTCCAAACAATGATGAGATTATCACCTCATACATATCAGAGTGGCTATTATCAAAAGAACAAAAGACAACAAGTATTGGCAAGGATGTGTAGAAATTGGAGTCCTTACATACTATTGGTGAGAATGCAAATGGTACAGTTGCTATAGAAAACAGTATGGACATTCATCAAACAATTAAAATAGAACTACTATAAGATCGAGCAATCCCATTTCGGGGTATTTATCCAAAAGAGTTGAAACCAGGATCTTGAGGAGATACTTGCACTACCATGTTTATTGCAGGGCTATTCACAATAGTCAGGATACGGAAAAAAACCTACATGTCTATCAACCAATGAATAGATAAATAAAATGTGGTGTGTGAGTGTGTGGAATGGAATACTATTCATCCTTTAGAAAGAATGAAATTCTGCAATATGAGACAACATGGGTGAACCTTGAGGACGTTATGCTAAGTGAAATGAGACAGTCATACAAAGACAAATACTGCATAATGCCACTTATATAAGGTACCTAAAATAGTCAAATTCATAGAATCAAAGAGTGGAATGTTGGGTACCAGGGGCTGGAGTGAGGGGGAAATGGGGAGTTACTAACTAATGGGCATAAAGTTTCAGTTAAGCAAGATCAGTAAGTTCTAGAGATCTACTGTACAACATTGTACCTATGGTCCGCAATACTATATCGTACACTTAACAATTTGTTAAGAGGGTAGATCACATGTTAAGTATTCTTACCACAATAAACAAAAGAAACCTATTAGTGTAGTTATTCATAAAGAAGAAAAACCATATAATGATCCCCAAAATATTTTTAAAGCCAGTTTTTAAAATTCAACATTTATTTTATAGCTTTAATGAGTTATAATTCATAGACCATATACTTTCAACATCCATTTTTAATTTAAAAATTATTTTGGTTTATATGGATTGAAAGGAAACTTCCTTCACTAAATAAAGGCTGTTACATACTAACAGCAAATGAAACAGTGAGCCACTAAAGGTATTCTTCACCTTGGAGTCAGAAACAAAATAAGGGCAAAGCAATCACTGCAATTCAAACTTGTTCTGGAAGTTCTAGCCAATACATAAGAAAATAAAGAGGTATAATTATTAAAGTATTCTCA